GGATCAAAGGTATAGAGAAATTAACAGCAGTAAGCCCTCAGTACGTGCTCACACACTAGACAGGAATCAGACCACGTTCATTAGACATATTTCCCCACTTAATTATCAGGACAGTCCTCTGATGAAGGATTTGTTATACTCATTTTACATAGGTGGGAAATGAGGTTTAAAGTTAAGCAATCTCAGAGGGTCAAGCAACTAGCTGGTAAACAGAGGAGCTAGGAGTGGCTCCCGAGAGCATCTGAACCCAAAGCCACTTCCAAGTTTTACAGAATCTGACAACAGAATAGGTGCTTAATGACCTTGAGAGCACTGTTTATTATCTCAGGGTTCATGATGTGATGAACCAGACTGTAACTGCTTAACTAGATGATGGGAGCTAAGGAGAGAGATATGAGGGAGAGTTAGATTTTTAATGCAATTTGTCAATGAAAGTCAAAGAGGTGGAGTAAGAAAAATGAGATGCGGGGATTTTCTTTTTCTATTCAAATAAAAGAGATTTTGAAATTATTTGAGTGCTATTAGGAGAAAGAATAGGACGGGAGAAGTGATCATACCCATGATCTGGGGGATAAGTGAGGGAGGGAGCCCCTGAGGAAGCAGCAGAGAAAGGAGAACTATGTAAGCTGAGTGAGTTCCCTTCTCTTAGTTTCATTTTTCTTGGTGAAGCAGGAAGTAAGGTTAACATCTGGGAATAAAGTGAAGAGAGAAGAGATGGAGAGGATCGCATTTTGAGAGGACACTACAAATCATGGACTAGTATCTAACCAGACAGGACTAAAGAGAAATGATCCAAGAACCAGCTTGTTCAAGCAGCCCAGCCTGTCGATCCTCACACTATAGTGATCATGTTTGGGAAAGAAAATCTGTGCTCATCACTGCTTTAACTATAATTTTCCTGACATTTTTCGTGGTAGACAGTCTTTGTCATTGCTGTGTTATTGCTTGTAGGTTGCTTTTTTTTTTTTTTTGGTTTTGGTATTGTGGTTTTCTTTCTTTTTTTTTTTTTTCCTTTTAAAAAAAAGCCATCTTTGTTTTTTTTTTTTTTTTCAATGAATGCTGATTGTTTTTAAACTTTTATTTTAGATTCAGAGATACATGTGCAGGTCTGTTGTATAAGTGAACTCATGTCACCGGGGCTTGTTGTACTGATTATTTCATCACCCAGACACTAAGCCTAGTACCCAACAGTTATTTTTTCTGATCTTCTTCCTCCCACCCTCCACCCTCAAGTAGGCCCCAGTGTGTGTTTTTCCCTCTGTGTGTCCATGTATTCTCATTGTTTAGCTCCCACTTGTAAGTGAAAACATGCGGTATTTGGTTTTCTGTTCCTAGGCTAGTTTGCTAAGAGTGGATGGCATCCAGCTCCATCTATGTTCCTGCAAAGAACATGATCTTGCTCTTTTGTATGACTGGGTAGTAAAGAATGCTGATTTTAATAGATATGGATCTCATTCTGTCTTGTATTATCCAGCTATGTCAATAGAAGACATTTCCTCAGGTCTTCCATATGGGCCATGACTTCAATATAATCCATTCTGATTTCCTGATATACCATAACCTTGAACAATGTCATACCAAAGCTTCTAACTAATCCTGTAAACTCTTTAGATTTTCCCACAGTGTTCTCTCTTCATTAAGCATCAGGTAATTTTTTTCCCCAAGTAAATAATCAAATGTAAATGAGTTTTTATAGTGTGTCCATGCTGTATAACATTAAAGAGGGGTATAATTTTTAAACTTAAGGATATTCCATTTCAAATGGCACTGGAAAACAACATGAAATAAATGACTAGAGACCAATGTAAAAGAGAAAGTGTTTTGTTAGGAAGTAAAAGCAACCTTCAAACCCACCTATAACAGCTCTTATTTTACAGTTTGGAAGACTAAGGCTGAGGGTAAATGATCTCCTGAATTTTTTCAGCAGGAAGAACTGGGTTAAAGAGTCAGGGTTTTTGTTTTTGTTTTGTTTCGTTTTTTTTATTTGCAAGTGTTATAGGACCAGAGTGTGTATCCACAGAGAAAAGGCTTTGTGAGGACACAGTAGGAATATGGCCATCTACAGGCCAAGGATAGAGGTCTCCAGAGAAACCTGACTTGATGACACCTTGATCTGGAATTTCTAGCCTCTAGAACTGTAAGAAAATAAATGTTGTTTAAAAAAAGGTGGATGGCAAATGCCTATCAATGACAGACTGGACAAAGAAAATGTGGCATATATACACCATGGAATGCTATGCAGCCATAAAAAAACAATGACTTCGTGTCCTTTGTAGGGACATGGATGAATCTGGAAACCATCATTCTCAGAAAACTGACACAAGAATAGAAAATCAAAAACTGCATGTTCTCACTCATAGGTGGGTGTTGAACAATGAGAACGCACGTACACAGGGATGGAAGTATCTCACGCTGCGGTCTGTTGGGTGGGGCTAGGGGAGGGACTGTGTCAGCTAGGGAGGGTGGGGAGGGATAACATGGGGAGAAATGCTAGATATAGGTGACAGGTGGATGGAGGCAGCAAACCACCTTGCCATGTATGTACCTATGCAACAATCCTGCATGATCTGCTCATGTACCCCAGAACCTAAAGTACAATTTTAAAAAAGAAAAGGTGGTTGTATCATCTGAGGTCAGGAGTTTGAAGCCAGCCTGGCTAACATGGTGAAACCTTGTCTCTACTAAAAATACAAAAAAAATTAGCCATGCATGGTGGCAGGCACCTGCAATCCCAGCTACTCTGGAGGCTGAGGCAGGAGAATCACTTGAACCTGGGAGGCTGAGATTGCAGTGAGCAGAGATCCTACCACTGCACTCCAGAGAGAGATGCTGTCTCAAATAAATACAGGTATTGATCGACTTATTACCTATGCAACTTATGACCATTTGACTTTACGACCACAATCGCTAGCCATGACTGCTCCACATCTGGCAGCGCAAACGTTGCCCAACTGGGCAAACGACAGTGTGGACCAGCTTCTGGCAGCACTACCATCTCCGTGTGCACCATTTCAACTGTTATCCCAGACTCGGTACAGCAATTTGTGTTTTGTGTCTTGGATATTTTTCATCGAACCCCTCCCAAGATGTCTACCAAGAGGAAATTGTATTTGTCTACACCTCAGCCTGCCAAGACGGCTTAAATATCTGACTTAAAGATTTTTATAACATCATTTCACAGTACCGTACATATAGCCTACTCACGTTACGACCAAATCGTGTTAGGACTGGTCTGTCAGAACCAATCGTGGTCGTAAGTCAAGCACTAGTTGCAAATAAGTAAATTAAAAAAACAAAAAAAAATAATAAAGGTTGGGGGGTTATTGACTAAACGTTTGTGTCCCCTCAAAATCCCAAAATTTATTTGTTGAAGCTTCAACCTCCAATGTTATGGTCTTTGGAGGTGGGGCTTTGGAGAGGAAATGACAGATGAAGTCATGAGGGTGAAGCCCAAGTTAACTAGGATTACTGTCCTTATATAAGAAGGATCTTGAGGGAGCTTCTTCCTCCCGCCACCCCCACCAGTCCCACGTGCACAGAGAAGTCATGTGACTGCACAGAGAGATGGTGGCTGCCTGCAAGTCAAAAAAAGAGGCCTCAGAATGAAAACTATTTTGCCGGCACCTTGATCTTGGACTTTCTTCCCAGCCTCAAGAATTGTAGGAGATAAATTTCTGTTGTTTAAGACATCTAATCTACGGTATTTTGTTATGGTAGCCTAAGCAGACTAAGAAAGCAAGAGTGGATTCAAAACCGGAGGCTTCCCTATATTCATTGCTGTCTCTTACAGGCTGTTTGTAGGGAGGCATAAGAGTAGGCAAGTTAAGCTTACTGGCCATGTGATAGCCCCAGCTGCAAAACTGGTTTTGATCATTACAGTCATGTGACTTTGGACATACTGTTTTTTTTAAAAAAAAAAAACCTCTCAGAGTCTCTGTTTCCTCATTGTGTAGTGAGGTTGCTAATGGAATCCATTTAGCGTGCTTTGTGTGTGTATATTAAATAATACATGCGAAGTGCTTAACATAATACATAAGAACATATTAAGTATCTGATATGTTATTGATTGTTTTATTCATTTTCATTTATTTCTTTAGTAAGAGATTGATATGTTTGCAAAGATTATTTAAGATATATAAAGGTAGATTAAAGGGCTTACTGCTTAATAGGAAAGATAAGACTTACAGACAAAAAATGTATGATAAAACATAAAGAATAGTCAGGGTTGTCAGTCAGGCATAGATAAAATAAAGTACTATGGCCATTAAGAAAAAAAGATAAATTTCTTTTATGTGTATAATTGGAAATGGCTTTGAGGAAATGATGGATTATTTCAAAAATAAGCATCCGGGAAAAAAGCAACCAAATACTCGCTATTCTTCAGTCACTCTGGGAGGCTGTATATTTATTAAGTGATTTTCCAGTTAATAGTCAAAATACCTCTAGGAGTGGGGCTTTGGGGAGGAAATTACAGTTAGATGAAGTCATGAGGGTGAAGCCAAAGTCAGCTAGGATTAGTGCCCTTATAAGAAGAGTCTGCCAGCATGGTGGCTCACACCCGTAATCCTAACACTTTGGGAGGCCGAGGTGGGTGGATCACCTGAGGTCAGGGGTTCGAGACTCACCTGGCCAAATGGTGAAACCCCATTTCTACTAAAAATGCGTAAATTAACTGCACGTCATGGCAGGCACCTGTAATTCTAGCTACTCGGGAGGCTGAGGCAGAAGAATCGCTTGAACTTGGGAGGTGGAGGTTGCAGTTAGCCGTGGTTGCACCATTGCACTCCAGCTTGGGAGACAAAGTGAGACTCCGTCTCAAAAAAAAAAAAAAAAAAAGAAAGAAAGAAAGAAAGAAAAAGAGTCACCAGAGAGCTTGCTTGCTCCTCTCTCTGCTTTTGGTAACTGCCCCCACAGTCATTGACATACCACTAAGGAGCTCACCTTCTCAAATGCATTTTTGAAGGGTGTGGCAGATTCATGACGTAGAAGGGAGGAGAGAAGGCATGAGGTGAAGGAGATGGCACATGCGGGGGTACAGAGCAGTGATTGAAACCACACGCCATGTTGGGAGACTTCCAAAAAAGCCTGGCGCATTGGCACTTAGGGAAGAAGAAATCATCTTCTCGTGAGTTTGAGCGGTCCTTCCTGACGGACCTAGCAGACACACTAATTTAGAACTGATGGCCGTGGGTTATTTAGGATATTGCTCAGGGAAAAGTTGGGAAGGGGCATAGAGGAAGAGTGAAAGCACCCAGGTGGGTCCATAAGAGCCCATGTCACTCAGAGATCTCTGCTTGAGTTTTGTCTTAAAGGCAGTGGGGACTGGGGACTGGGTTTTCACGTGGGTGATGAGACATCATGCTGAACAGAAGTGCTGCTAGACATTCTTGCGTTTTATTCTTTTTTTAAGAGGAAATGTTTTAATGATTTCAAAATTAAATATGATCTTTGTTGTAGTGTTTTTTATTTGAAACTTTATCAGATTAAGGAATTTTCTTTTTCTCTATTCTGAGTTTAGTGATTTTTTTTTTTTAATAATGAATGGCTGTGATATTTAATTTTTTGGCTTCAATTGAGTTACATTGTTTTTCTTTTTTAATATATTAATGTGAGAATTTATACTGATAGATTTTCTGGTGTTAAATCAATTTTGCATCCCTGGGATAAACCCAGCTTGGTAATAAAGCCTTTCCTTCCAACATTGCTGGATCAGGTTTGCTAGTGTTTTGTTTAGAACATTTGAATCTATATTCTTGAATGAAATTGGTCTCTCATTTTCTTTCCTTTGGACTGTCCTTCTCTGGTTTACATTATGACTGTAATAGCCTCATAAAATAAGTTTGGGAGGATTACGTCCTTTCCGTTGAAATAATTTTATAGGATTGGAATGTATTCCTTAAAGATGGCATTTGACCATAGTGGTTAGATACTATGATGTTTTCTTGGTGCAAATTGTTTAAAATTAGGAGTCAATATATGATATATGTAGTAATGAGAGACTCATTGTTTCTTCTTGGGTCAATTTTGATTAGATTTTTATTTTTTATTTTTTTTGAGACAGGTTCTTGCTCTGTCACTCAGGTTTGTATGCAGTGATACAATCACGGTTCACTGTAGCCCTGGCCTCTCAGGCTCAAGCAATCCTCCCACCTCAGTCTCCCATATAGCTGAAACAGCAGGCACTACCACAAGTGGCTAATTTTTTAAATTCTTTGTAGAGATGGGGTCTCCCTGTGTTGCCCACACTGGTCTTGAACTCCTGGGCTCAAGCAAGCCTCCCACTTCAGATTTCCAAAGTGCTGGAATTACAGGTCTGAACCATGGTGCTGGGCCTAGATTTTTTCTTATGAATGTGTGCATTTTATTTATGTTCAAAATTATTCGCTTAAATTATTATTTACAGTATGCTTACTTTTCTGTTAAATTTCTGATGTTTCTTCTAAATTTTTATAATTTCATTATCCTTTACATTTCAAAAAATTTTAATTTGTGCTTGATTCTTTTGTTTTCTTAATAAATGTATCCAGGGATTTTTGTGTGTGGACATGTGTTTGTTTTTCAAATTTTGAAGACCCAACTTTTGTCTTTTTATATATATATTCTATTGTATCTCTTTTATTTTATTTTATTTTATTTATTTCTGTCCTCATCTTTATTACTTCTTTTCTTTTCTTTTTTTTGAGACGGAGTTTCACTCTTGTTACCCAGGCTGGAGTGCAATGGCGCGATCTCGGCTCACCTCAACCTCCGCCTCCTGGCTTCAGGCAATTCTCCTGCCTCAGCCTCCTGAGTAGCTGGGATTACAGGCACACGCCACCATGCCCAGCTAATTTTTTTGTATTTTTAGTAGAGACGGGGTTTCACCATGTTGACCAGGATGGTCTCCATCTCTTGACCTCGTGATCCACCCACCTCGGCCTCCCAAAGTGCTTTTCTTTTTATTTTAGTTGAGTTTATTCTGGGTTTCTTATACCCAAAAGATGCAATCATATGTTGAGAGAAATGGCAATTAAACTTACTAAGTTTTCAGTGTAGCGAGTGACATGCTCCCCTCACTACCACCCACCAAAAAAGGCTAAGAAATTTTCAGAGAAGTACATTTAGGGCATGTTTTTTAGAATTTAGATCGACTGGAATTCAAATATATTGGGGGTACATTAAATAGTTTTGTTTCTCCATTTGTAAAATAACAGTTAAAAAATTACACCTCATAGGGTCTTGTGGCACTTACATGAAATAATCCATGTGCTGTGCTTAACGCATAGTAGCCCTCATGATAGAAGTTCAGTAAGCAGTGACGATTTTTATTGGCATATGGATAAGATGATAAGGCATTATGCAATAACAGCCAACTGAGACTAACAGACAATAAACGCTATAGTGCTGAATGGTTGAATACAACTGTTGGCTGGAATAGTCAAAGAAGTCTCTGGAAGAATCTAAAATAAACTTAATATTGGTAATAGGGAGGAGCACTGGGACAGGCAGACAAGTGCGCATAGCATAAGAAATAAGAAAAAAAAAAAATCGGCCAGATGGGGTGGCTCATGCTTGTAATACCTGCACTTTGGGAGGCCAAGGCAGGCAGATTGCCTGGGGTCAGGAGTTCGAGATCAGCCTGACCAACATGGTGAAACCTTGTCTCTACTAAAAATACAAAAATTGGTGGGGCATGGTGGTGGGCACCTGTAACTCCAGCCACTTGGGAGGTTAAGGCAGGAGAATCACTTGAACCTGGGAGGTAGAGGGTGCAGTGAGCTGAGATCATGTCACTGCACTCCAGTCTGGGTGACAGAGTAAGACTCCATCTCAAAAACAAAAACAAAAACAAAAACAAAAACAAAACAAATCACCTTGAGATGGGATCATGCTTTTAGACACCATCTTTTGCATTACTTAAATTATAAGTACATTTTGTGATTTACTAATACACTATAATTCTCAAGTTTTTAATCTATGTTACCTTTGTCTTCCCTACAAATCCATTTTTAAAAATAAATGAAGACAGAACCCTCATCTTTCACTTCTACTGTGACCTTCCACAGCATCTAGTATTCTACTCTATATACCATGAGCATTTAGTCAATGCCTATTGAATGAATGAGTCCTCTCTTCTGGGAGTGCGACTTCTATCTTACTTTCAGCACTTACTCCTTTCATCGTGAAGGTGGCTATAGAATACCTGGTGACTATCAGGTGAAAAAGCTACAAGAAAATTGTGGGGGGATAATTTGGAATCAGTCCACAGAGGAAATAATAAAAGGTTCTGCGGTTGATGGGTAATCCCTCGGAAAAGTTTTTGATAAGACACCTCTTCAAAGTAAATGATAGAGCCCTCTTTCTTTATAGATGGGGGAATGGTATGTCAATCAAGCTATTCTAGACACTAAAGGGGCCTCTGGCCAGAATTTGTGTTTTCTTTCCAAGCATAGAGCCAAATGGATAAACCCTTACTTAACTATGAGAAAGAACAATTTAGTAAGGAATTGAGAATGTTACGTTATTTAAGAAATATCTATTACAAAACCCAAATTACATATTGTGCTAGTTTGATCTCATGCAGGTATAAAAACATGTCTGAGACTGAGTAATTTATAAAGGAAAGAGGTTTAATTCATTCACATTTCTGCAGGGTTGGGAAGGCCTTAGGAAACAAAATCATGGCAGAAGGCGAAGCAAACACATCCTTCTTCACATGGTGGCAGGAAAGAGAATGAGTGCCTAGCGAGGTGGGAAGCCCCTATAAAACCATCAGATCTTGTGAGAACTAACTCACTATCATGAAAACTGGATTCGGGAAACTGCCCCAATGATTCAATTATCTGCACCTGATTTCTCCCACAACATGTGGGGACTATGTGAACTACAATTCAAGATGAGATTTGGGTGGGGACACAGCCAATCCATATCATATATGTAACTTAAATTGGATCAATATTTAATGGATACCTACTTGCCAGCTACCATGTTGGTTCTTGAAGAGACAATGATGAGTAAGAATGGTTTATACTCTTAAAGATCTTACACCAAAGAGAGAAGGAAACACATAGGTATGAATACCAGGATATAAAGTCAGGCTGTGCCAAACACAAGCAGAAATAAACAGCGCTATAAAATTAGTGGATAGCTGAAATTAATTTTGGGTTGGAGTCAAGGAAGGTGCCCCAGAAGAGGTAATACTGGAGATAATTCTTTTCTTTTCTTTTCTTTTCTTTTTTTGAGACGGAGTTTCACTCTTGTTACCCAGGCTGGAATGCAATGGCATGATCTCGGCTCACTGCAACCTCCGCCTCCTGGGTTCAAGCAATTTTTCTGCCTCAGCCTCCCAAGTAGCTGGGACTACAGGTGCATGCCACCATGCCCAGCTAATTTTTGTAGTTTTAGTAGATACGGGGTTTCACCATGTTGACCAGGATGTTCTCTATCTCTTGACCTCATGATCCACCCGCCTTGGCCTCCCAAAGTGCTGGGATTACAGGTGTGAGCCACCGCACCCAGTCACTGGAGATAATTCTTGAAGTACCAGAGGAATTTAAACATATGTGAGGCTAGGGAATTTTTAATATCTGGAAAGTAATATGCTTCTGGAATGGAGCACAGGCTGGCAGAATTGCAATTTAGGGTGGATGGGGAGACCGGTGGAATCTACTGTTAGCTATATAATTCTGAATAAGATTTTGGGAGGTCAAGTGGCAGGATGGCCGAGTGGTGTAAGGCACCAGACTCAAGCTTAAGATTTGGGAGGTCATGAGAAGCACAGAGGAAGTTAGATGTGACAATCACTGTAAGGCCATACATGGCAAAAGCTGACAACAGTTGAATGTCACAAGTGGAAGCTATGAAAGAATCAGTGCTGAATGATGACTTTAGCAGAGGAAAATCAGTAAATAGTGATGTCTACACCTGTAATAAGAAATCAGACACAAGAAAAAACTTATACATAGGGTAGACATATTGAAGACGAGATGTGAGTTAAATGTGGCTACAGAGGCATTAGGAAATACAGGTTGTGAAAATAAGTGACACTGGAAAGGAAAAAGGATTATTAGACTAGTACAAAGAAAGTTAGGAGGGATGAAAATTAGGCTACATTTTACAGGGAAGGAAAGGAAGTTGATAGAATTT